AGACTCAACAGTTCAATACTATCCAGGATCATGATGGTGCATCAATGTGGTGTAGAAGAACAGCACACAAATTTCCAAATGATCTGCAAATCCCTCTTGTCAATTCCTGGTTTTGCCATCCATACACTGACCCATCCAACTCTGCTCCCTGTATGGAAGATGAAGAGATTACATCTGGACAAAGAAACAGAGCAATGATTAAGCCTTCTGTTTTTGAGTAATAGCACAGCTAGGCATATTTAACATCTGGGGTGGAAAGAGATTTGGCTCTGCTCAAGAAAGGTAAGAAATGATGAAGAAACACGGGAGATAAATAATGTCTGAGTCAGCAGAAAATGACTGCACAAAAGTCTGCCTCAACACCGGATGATGTCTCACAACAAATGCCTGCAATTGCTGCAGTGTATGCAAAACATTTCCTAGCACAACTTGGAGGCCTGGGATAAAAATGAAAATTAAGAAATGTGCCATCAGTTTAAACCACAAGAAAGAAGGGGAGGATGCTGGAGAGGGACAGGATTGCTCCTTGTCTCTCTCAAACTTGCTTCATGTCAACAGTCACTTCCCATTCTCATTGTGGTCATGACAAATGTGAAGCTACCTGGACAGCAGTGACTTAAAACTTAATTACTTTTATAGGAAATGAGGCATGAAAACTATTATCAAAAAACACCATGTCTGAAGTACAAGCCACATTTTGCTTTCCCCACAGAAATCTTCTGAATGCCAGAATTGACTGTAAGGCACGGTGGGATGCTGGAAACATCAGTAATTCTTTCTAGGGCATGGCAATACAAAATGTCTTATGAGGCCAAGTTTGAGAAAGAGCAGAATAAATTGCTTGTATGAGCACCTGACACATGGCTTTGTTTGCTGAAAGTGGTTGCAAAGCCCAAAAAATTCTCCACATATGTGGCCTTTGATCTTGGCAGAGTGGTCCCTAAGATCAAACCCATTCAATGCTGGTGGAAAAAAAAGGCTATTTATTCAATACAGAAAACAACCCAAATATCACTGGTGAAAAGAAAAGGCACAACAACTAAGTCCCTACAGAGGTCTTGTGTAACAGGAGGGTGATAGTGCCTGAATTGAGTCAATATGATGTGTCCCAGAAGCACAGGTTGATAATTAAAAGAACAACTATTGCCTGGAGCAATTTAACCTTTCTTCCTCACCATCACACATTGTAGCTCTAATGCATCTTCTGTGCTGCACCTTGTACTTTCTCCATTTTTGGCAAGTTCCTGAGATAGCTGCCATGTGTTGAAAACAGAGACACAGAGCTGTTAGGCCAACTTCATGGTATCCTGGGACATGATGTGCTCAGGGGAAATACTCTACTGTCCCATTAGCCACACAGCCCCACTGGTGAAAGCTCTCTTGTTTATTCTCAGAGGTAGCACTGCCTCTGCTGTGAACTTAATCCAAGTGTTTCCCCTCTCATGCCTGTGAATGATTCCTTTTGCAGGAGACAGTTAAGGGGAAAGATAGACTGTGAAGTTACTGACCACAGGCACTTCCCTGACAGCTATTACTGCTCCAATTTACTGACCACTGGCTCTGACAGAGCTCTGTAAAGTGCACAGCAAATAGTTTATTCCAGGGAAGCAGGGTCCAGCCTGCTCCTTTATCCCTCTCACAGCAGTGGTGAGAGAATAAGGCTGCAGCACACCCAGAGCACAGAGAGCCTGAAGAGGAAAATTAAAGGACACAAACAATTATGAACCTTGACAGGTGAAAATGTTTGCTGTCGCAGGGAGATGCTGAGATGCCAAGTCAATGCCACGCACACCAGACACCAGGGCAAAGAGAGACAAATGCAGGACATGAACTGCAGGGATTTCACAACAGAAGAGATCTCTGGTTCCACAGCTTTTGATCTCTGTACCTTTGCAATGAGACATTTCATCTGGGAGTCAGCTTTATCCAGTGCTGGATTAACTTCTTGTTCCACAGCTTGACCTGTCACCCAGAGTATTACAGAGATGGGCACTCAGAAACCCACACACAGAAAACACATTAGATTGAGATAGATGTATTTAACATCAGCACTGTGCAATACTTCAGACTGCTCACAGCTTAATTTCAGCTTGATTTCCACAAAACAAAACCGTAACAACTAAGAAAAGCTTGCCTTTTCATCCAGGCTGAACAATACTAATATTTTCTTTTAATATTGGTGAATACTGCTATATAGAAAGCTTCACTCATATTTGTATCTTTTTCTAGACACATCAGCAAGACAGTCTTTTGGGACACATTTTACTGTGAAAACATTATCTACAGTAAAAGCTATTGCCTCCCACTTAAATATCTGTCATGCATATCATTTCCTGGGACCAGGACACTGCAGACTTCTGGAACAGGGATAGCTTGTAAACTGTTAAAAAGTCACTGCTGTTCACTATTTAAAGCTTTTAAGAAAAAAAAAAATGAATCACCAATTGACAACCCAGAACTTTTCCTGTGTTACACCTGAATGATCCCCAAATCTGATTTTGCTTTGGCAAAGGTACACAGAAATGTGGGTATTTTTATTCACACCTACTCAACGCTTTCTGAGGTAAAGTATAGAAAGCATGTAAGGATACTGTGCATTTCTGGTAACCACACAGGAAAACACAGCTAATTTTAAACTACAAACATTTCACTCAAACCCACAAAGGTGGGTCTATCCTAGGAAGCAGTGGAGTATAATTTCCATTGATGTCGTGATATACCAGCAGGGAAGCTGCAAGGTTTTGGTGCTACCTCGCAGAACTATATTAGACTTAATATGTACAGACTAATATTAGACTGTCACCCCTCAGTTTCCTCCAGAGAAATGTTTTGATAAAGAATAATTTTTATTTATTTTTTTTTTTTAAAAACCTGTGAGGAGAAAGAGTGATGTAGAAATAGTTGCCCTCCTGTCTGTATCAGTGAGCCCTCTGCATTCTGCATTCTTCCATTGGTTCCAATATTCCCACTAAAACCAAACCATGGAATTCTCTTGGCTAAGCTCAGAGAAACATGGGAGGAAAGTATTAACTTTCTGAATCAGAATCAATATGCTGCACAAGCATTTTCCATGAATTATTTTTTCTTAAAGAGAATATGCTAGCGAACACTTTGGTCCCTGCCTCTCCCTTCACCCAGCCTTTTGCAAGCAGCTCCTGCAGTGTGACACCTCTGGGTGGGTTTATCAGTTCAACTGCTTACCTGGTCTGCAAATGGTAACAAATTACATCCAAGCTAGTAAAATTTCACAAACCTGCAATTACACCCAGTGAAGTGAAAATTAACAACAACCTATCAATTTCCTTTTAACAATGACATTTATCCCTGGATGCCATGGAGGTGCTCACTACTGCTGGGCAAACCTGAAGAGGTAGAAGACTTTGCTTTCAGCTACTGAGAACATATGGGAGTTTTATAAAGTAAGAGAACTTTTATTTTTTTTAACTTCTTTAAAAATATTTGTCACTAGAGATCCTCCTTCTGTACTGATCAACTACCACACAGTATTGGATAAATAGCATGAATTCCCATTAATATGAAGTCAGGGAAAGGAAAAAGTAACAGAAGGCTACAGAGATCAGAGAAAATGCTCACTGAGTTACTGTGACCAGATGGCTTTTTGTCAGTGTCTGAGGGAAGTCAGGTTTGATGTTTTTCTTCCCATACAATATTTTCATGCAAAGGCCCTTCTAGCTCCAGTTCAAAAGTGAGAGTTTGATTTATATCCCCAAACCATCCACCTAGCCAGGCTCCAGCAGCTCTCTCTAATGACACAGCAATGATTTTTTGGATGGCTGTCCACAACATGGATGGTGTTTAGCATCCACCTTAATTGTTTCATTTATATGTTCACACTAGAAGTGAGCACAGATAATCCAAAGGAATGTCTCCACATTTTATCCCTCTTTTTAAACCGTTCCTCATAAACATTTAAAACTGTGAACAAGCTTGCAAGAATGGGTTTTGGCATGAGGAACAGGTGGTGCTAATGTTGGGTAAATGTTCCTGCAGGGGAGAGACTAGAAGTCTGCTATAAATTACAGGGGTATTTCTGCAACTAAAAAACTTCATGTTCATTGATGAAGCTGAGAGAGCTCCTTGATGGCAAAGCCATCGGGGAGCTTCAAATCATGTCACTTCACTAAATCTTCTTTCTCCATTTGTCTTGGAAAAACATTCTTGCAAACATATGTGATGCACATAGCACTAACAAGAGAGGATGGTCTAGAGAAATTATGTATTTCTGCTTCATCACAAATTCAAGCTGAATAATCTCCTACTCAGACACTTTTCCAGGTCAAATTCCTCTTGTATTTATAATGGGGCAAACTCACTTAAATACCCCCCACTGAACATAGGAAGCAAATAAATTAATTTTGCAATTTGGAAAAGCATGTCCTAAATAAGCAGTGGGACCAAAACTTATTTCTGTCCATTAGAAAGCCATAAATCTATGCTCTAAAGGATTCCATGCAGTGAGGAAAGAATTTATAGGAACATACCTGCAGTATGAGGCCCACAATTTCCTAATCATGCTATCAGTGTCATTTTATAATCTGCAATACTTGTTCCCAACTGTGCTGCACTTAGATGATGCTTTCTTATAAGAGATCCTCTCTGTGGAGGACAGAACCCCATGTCACAGTGCACAGGAAAGTGTTTCCTGCTGATGAGTTTTTTTGGGGCAGTCCCCAGAACCATCCCCATGTTCCAGTAAGCAGTTTTGATAGGAAAATGGAAAATCACTGGAAAATAAAGAAGAGGTACTTCTCTTTTACCTTTTTTCTCCACATGGGTGGCTGCAGGGCATGGACCCACCATTTCAGTAGTTTCTTTGAGAAAAAATTACATCAAAATTCCAATTACTCTCCATACACTGCAGCTTTCAAGATGCAAATCTCAGCCATAGGGAGGGTACATTTCTGCAGTTTTAAACCCAAAACATAATCCCACCAACTCAATTCCCACAGCAGAGCCCTCTGGACACGACAGTCACTGACCTTTGTGCCCGGTCTGTGATCTCCTCCTCCAGATCCAGCAGGAGCGCTGCCTGAGCCATCAGCTCCTTGCTGCAGGGCAGGGATTTGAGGTGCAGAATCAGCAAACCAAGGCAAAACTTGCTTCCCATCTCCTCCAGCTCCTGTGTCCCCAGCTGCAGGCCCTGATGGAGAGAGGCACAAGGTTTCATGATTCCAACATGTGGAAGTTTCCCCAAAGAATCATCTGTAAATTAACCAACAGCACATGGTCCACAGAAGCTATCCTAAAACAGCCTCTGTTTTACAGCAGGGCAAACAGAGGCAAATAGTTTAAATGTCTCAAATAAATTTTCAGAAGTCATTGTAAGAATTAGACTCGGACCCCAGGAGAATCTGACTGTAAATCCACTTTTACAAATCATCCATTTTTTTTCTTTTTCTCTCTAGAGGAGCTGTCTACCTAAGTAATGGAAAAAAATAAAGTCCTGTGATTATAAACATTAGGTAGTGGCAAAGATAGAAAAGGGAACTGGACAAGGGGAGAAAAGAGAGGAAGAGATCTTTAACAAGTTATGAATTGTTTTTTAAGAAAATCAATTGCAAAGTAATTGCAAAATAACAAACACCTCTAAGGAATTTCTCAGTCTGTTAAAAGCTGGTGGCACAAACAGGTTTTAGATTATCAACTCCATCTTTTAAGAGAGGAATTCTCCAAGCTGTGGATCCTTGCTGATTGTGAATAGTCTGTGTTTGGTTTTACACCAAGGGTCTGCATCAGAGTAAGTCAGTGTTGTAATTGATGGCATTTCATGCATCTGGTGAGAGGAGGGCAGGAGGCAAACAAAGCTCAGATGTAGCAAAAAGAAACTAAAACTGCAGACTCCCTTATCTTTGGCACTTAGAGACCCCATCACCCATCGGGGCTGGACCAACTCTGCCTCTGCCAATAATAGTCCTGTGTGTTTTTGCATCAAAAATCATCTCTGCAGCCAAGCTTCTGTGAGATTTCCAGCTTCTCTCCCAGGCTGTTTCCTTAGCAACTCTCAGGAGTCCAGAATAAGCCCTGGCCTTAAGCATGGTGTGAGCTCCACATCAGCACAGCCTGCACATCTCTCTCCTCTAGATATTTGTTAGTGAGCAGCTCATGGGTACTGAACACATTATAATTTATATTATAAAATATAATGTGTTCAGTAATCCATGACAGGGGACAGAGCTCTGCTCTTTTCCTGTATAAAGTTATATTTGTAAAATGCTTTGGGATCCTTGGGTCTGAGAACCTCTGTATAGCTGGAAGATTATTTCTGAGCCAAAACCACACAGGTGGATGGAAGGAAGAAGAGATTTCACACATAAATGTCTGCAGCTCTCCTGAGGAGTTTTTTGGTGCATTTTTGCAAGAGGACAGAAACTATTGCACAGCAGCACCATAACTTCCTCCCTAGCAGGTCCAGCATATGCAAATATCATCTGGCATTAAAAACTCCCTCTCTGACCACAAGTGCATTTTCCTATGGACAAGATATTGTAATTCAGTTTATTTTCTAAGACACTATGAGCAAAGAAAGAATCCAGAGTTATGATGAACATAATCCAGAACTCAAACATGTTCTGAGCATCTGGACAGGCAAGGACCTGCCAAGAAGAGCACACACAATCTGAGGAAACAGCCTCAGTGCTAGGCAGGGTCTAGGGCTGCAGGAAAATTGACTTTTGTCCTCTGAACAGTCTCTTAAGTGTTTTTATCACAGTGGGAAAATGTCTTACATCATTTCGACTCTACTCCTATTCACTTCTACACAAGCTTTGTCACACAAAGTTGCAGCAATAATTTATAGGAAAAACAAAAAATGGAGGGAGAAGTTTATGGGAACTGAGGGTCATTAACACAAAACAATGAGAATACTAAGCTATGAAAAAACTCAGATATGAGAATCTCTAAATAGATTCCTAAATGTTTTATTATTTTACTTTAAAAGACTTAAGATATTTTAGTGTGGCAGAGTTACAACCAGCAGGCAGAAGTGGTGACATTTCAGAGAAAAAAGTTGTCATTTCCACAGCAAGACAGTAATTTTCTCAGGGGCAAAAAATACAAAGAACGTCTCAAGGCTTTCCCTGGGGTGCATCTCAAGGTCTTGCTTCTAAGATAAAGGCAACATACTAAACAGCTATCAAGGAGATGCAAACAGCGCCTGAGCTGAAACTCAGACTGTGGCTTTATGACTCCCTAGAGCTTTAGTCAGAATATGGAGAGGCCTTAAGAAATTATGAGCAAAAAATCATAATAATATTAACACTGCAACACACCTCAGAAGGCTAAGACAGTAACTGCTCATGCACTGAACCCAGCTGCTGTACAATGGACCCGTATTGCTTTGATATTAGACAGCTCAGGAGTAACAGCAAGAAACTCAGCCAGAGGACTGCCTGTTAGCATACTTTATTCACTTCAAACACAGACATTTATTTATTTTAACTCAGGCAATTTTCTCTCTCCTTCCTCCCTCCTCAGTTCTCAGCAGAGGGAGAAGCTGGAGGTGCAGAACAGGACTGCTATTAAACTGAAGCTGGGACAGGGCTGACACGTTGAGCTAATGTAATTGATGGCATATGCCAGCAATGCCAGGACCTGGTGCAGTGCTTAATAATCAATCCCACCTGCATTACTGAAAGGGAAGCCTGACCTCCAGGCATTCCTATGTGGCACAGCCAGCTGCAAAAATTTCTAGATTGTGCTTATAACTCTATGAAAATATCCTGTAAGAAACAAAGAAAGAAGAAAGGCAGAAGCGATGCACTCAGCTTTGGTTGAGAAGCTGGTAGGAAGCACAGCTCCATGGCAGGGAGTTACCAAGTGACAATACATGGTCTGTTTGTCACAGCTGTGCAGGAGGAAGCTGCTCTGCCTGCCAGCACCTCCCCTGCAGTGTCCTGCCAGCCTGCATTCTCAGTGACCCCATCTTCTCTGGCACAAGGCTTTACAGCTCTGTCCCCTCCTCTGGTCACATCGCTGTGACCAGTGGAGCATGGTGCAAAGTGTCCCACACCAAAAGGAAGGAGGAACCAGCACCCCTGCACCAGAAAGCTTCAGACAAGCTCATCAGTCTTAATTAGTCCAGCCTCAGAAACATGCTAACTAAACCTGCTTTAATGATCAGCTCAGGGCTCCACACAGGTTTTGCTCTCCATTACATCGAAGTACAAGTCTGGACCAGCATTAGCTTCATGCACCACATTCCACTGCACAATGCAAATTGGTCCTTCGGGCCCTGTCATGAAATAATCTTCTGCAGACATCATGTTAAGGGGTAACAGGTTAATTGTTTCCTGGCTATTACAGAGAGTAATGGAGCTGAAAAACTTTTCTTAAACCCTTTTCACATTTTCATACTGCAACAGACAGAAGGGGAAGAGGTGATGCCTAATAACAGTCCTAGTTTGAGATATATTTATTTTCCACTGTAATACAAAACAGGGGAACAGGAATAAAAGACTTATCATTTGGCCTCAACACTGTCAATACAATTTTTTCTAAACAAAATTAATCAAATTGTATTGGAGAAACAGTTCATTCATGCTCGGCACTGGTGCATCAAATGAATATCCACAACTAAATGTTTCCAATATCTCTCAGCTTGCCCTGAAAATACTTCCCAGGCTAAATGACAGTGTAATGGAAAAACTTTATTATTCATTACTCATGTGCTTTAAATACTCCAGGAGGCAAAGACAGCGATAGTTTTGTAACACAGATATTGTTGAAGGAGGTGGAAAGACTCCAGAAGTTAAATTAGAGATTTCTCCACAAGGGTAATGAGAATTACAGTAAAATCAGAGCTGGGAGATACTAATAAATACAAGTAGACAGAAAATTTCAGAGGGATCAATTTTTTCCTAAAGGAGATTTTTGACACAGAGCATGGCCACATCAGTGACCTAAAGCTTCTCCTGCTTAGGTCACTGTTCAGTCCTTGGGGCTACAGCTTTTCCCTGCAAACCCACTTCCAGTCCACACACACACACACACACACACAGTTACAGATCCTCCCTGCATCTCAACAGCTCTACACATGCACAATGGCTATGCCCTAAGGCCGGGTATAAATAAATTGACAGTCTGGTTTCTCACTAATTCCATCAGTGAGCTCTCCCTCAGAATACTAATCAAAACCATTTGGAAGCTCTAGAGGACAAATTTAGGGAGCTGAATGAAACATTTTCTGCTTGGTGTCTGCAGCCTTAATTTTAGCTTGAGCCAGCCCTGAAGGTTACTGTACTTTCAACCCCTGTGAATGAAAATACACAGACACCTGCTGGGGAACTGGCTATTTGGACAACTGGGGCAGCAGGGAATAATCCAGGTTTTCTCATTCCCAAAGATCCCTCAGCAGCAGGAATGGCATGCAAAACAGACGAAGTGGAGGGGATGGGAATTGACGCCAAAACATTTCAAGAGGATTAAGCAAATGGAAAAGGCTGAAGATGCAAGGAAAAGAAAAGCCGGCTAGCAAGAATTTCTAGAAAGAAAGATGAGAGGGACTGGAGATAGAGCCAGGAGATAAAAGGATGGGAGAGATAAAAGGATGGGAAAGAAGGAAGGGCTGTTGAGGTCAATGGATGCTGATACAGAGAAATTATAACAAGAAGAAAGCTAATGGCAACCTTGACCACCTTGGCACCCTTGGGGAAGTGTGCCTTGCTCTGCACATCTGTCCTCATTACATCTGGTGCTCTGCCCACATGGTGAGCAGAAAAGGCCTGACTTGCTTTGAATCTCCTCACAAAACTTCTGCTGAGCTCAGCTGGTGTTTTGGCTGAGCAAACTTCAACAGCACAGAAGTAATTATTGTTTTAATCATTCAAATGGGCTCTTTCATTATTAAAAGATATGGATGTCATAGGCAACACTGTTCAGGGAACAGACTGAAAGGGAGGATGAAATACCTTCTCCTTCCAATCTGCTGGAGAAAGAGTCCTGAACAAACTGCTCATTGAAGAACTGGGGATTTAACAAACAAAAACTTGCTGCCAATTTCTCTAGAAAAAACAGTTGTTTAGGTTATGAATTCTCCAGTTCTATTGTGAGGAAAGGCTTTTTCCTTCTTTCCACTGACTAGTTATTTGTCTGACATTTCCATTTCCACACCTTTCCCCTTTCCTTTGC